GAAGCTTCGTTTCGCAGCTTCTCGACTTTCGGTTGACGATCCGTTTTGAGGTAGGGGTCCTATTACTTAACTTTTGTGGAGTTTTATTTAATTTAATTTATTTTGTTAAATTTGAGAAGATTTAAAATTATATATCAAACTTATTTATTACTGTTACACGATATGACTTGAAACAGAACCATTAGGGGCCCATCCTGTAATGTACAGCGTGGCCAAGAGATTTTAACATAATTTTGGAAATTGACACAAAAGCATGGTTAGGAGAATGTAAACCGGACACGATAGTGAGATAGTGTGCTAACAGTAGGTGTAGCCGTTCACCATCCCTGGGTGTGAACCCGAAAAGGTAAAAGAAGGAGAGGTGATGACGCTCTCCGGGGTTGAGAATCTCCAAGGTTACTGTACAGTGGTTACGTCCTGGTGAGGGTCCGGAACGACAGTTCACCGTCACCCGTGGTTCGAGAACTGATCTGGTAAGGACATCGAGTTAGAGTTCCCTACCATCAGTCTCTCTGAGTCACTGCGCCCTTCGGGGGTTTATCGTCCCGAGTGTACGGACTAGATTATCTCACTGACACAGGTTTTCATAATTTATTGTGCATAAAAAGTAGAAATTACTAACCATGCAGGTTTAATTTGGGAAAGGTAAATAAAACTAAAAGTGAGTAATAGTTCTCCTACTGAGCATTCCGTGCTCACCCCATTTGTCCTCTTTCATTTCCAGGGGGTGTACAGTGCAACCTTTCGGACAAGGAGTAGTCACCGATCAGCGTTCCCCTCGTAGAGGATCTACCATTTTCAGTTTCCTTCCTCAAATTTGTGTAAGTCCTTGATTGGATTACTTTGGACAAAATTGTAACTGATGATGATGATCGTACTGTTAAATATTTTATTGGTGCTACATTATACTGTGGATCCAAGTTTTAACGTAACGATGAATTATGGGTTTTAACGGAGAGTTTGTTTTAAAGGCCCATGGGCAGACATTGTTTTTATTTTAGGAGTCTTATTTTATTTTATTTCTATTTGTGCACCGTTACCGCACTTTTATTACATAACCCCCACTTAGGGGCGTCACACCTGTTGCACAATATCCGGTGTAGAGGTCAGATTATACACTATAGCCTGGTTATGATCTTCATAGAACTGAAGATCTTACTCACTCACCACTTCAGTCCTTTTCCAATCTTCGAAAGCTAATAACGCCAGAGTCCCCGTCGTCTTCCTACTAAGGGCATCAGCCACCACATTAGCTTTTCCAGGATGTTATTGTAGAGTGAAGTCATAATCTTCCATATACTCCACCCATCTCCTTTGCCTGAGATTCAAGTCTTTCTGAGTAAATAAGTACTTCAGACTTTTATGGTCAGAAAAGACCTGAAACTTTGCTCCATAGAGATAACACCTCCATATCTTCAGAGCAAATATTACCGCTGCCAATTCCAAATCATTAGTGGGGTAATTTCATTCATGTGGTCTTAATTGGCAAGATGCGTACGCTACCACGCGTCCCTCTTGCATTAAGACACAGCTAAGCCCACTCCCCGAGGCATCAGAATACACCTCATATGGTTCCTCACTATCAGGAATAGTCAGGACTGGTGCACTTGTCAGTCTGACCTTCAATTCCCGAAAAGCATTTTCACACTCAGCGTCCCATTGGAATCTAACTTCTTTCTTGGTCAACCGAGTCAGCGGTGCAGCAATACTCGAGAAGTCTTTCACAAAACGCCGATAGTACCCTGCAAGTCTAGGGAAACTGTGAATCTCCGCTACATTCTTCGGCCTTTCCCACTGTAGCACATTCTCGATCTTGGAAGGATCTACAGAAATTCCCTGTCCAGAAATCACATGCCCAAGGAACTTCACTTCTGTAAGCCAGAAGTGTCACTTCTCCTTCTTAGCATACAACTTGTAAGACCCTGAAGAATTAAAAGAAATTAATTAAGGTAATTGAGATTATTAGTGTGCCTAATCTTGATTATTAATTGAGTATTAATTAATAAATGTTTCTGACATGTGTGAGTTTAATTAGTTCCAAGGTATTTAAATTATTCTCAGTAATTTATTTTAACCTAGAAGTGTGTATGGGCGCATTTCTGGACTGTTCTTTTAAAAATATTATACACATGTCATTTTCTTTTCTTTTTTCTTTTCTTTTCTTTTCCTTTTCTTTTCTTTTCTTTCTTTCCTTTTCCTTCCCGTGCATCACTCTCTCTCCCTCTCTCTCCTGTGCATCACTCTCTCCCACTCTCCCGTGCTCTCTCTCTCTCTCTCTCTCATTTTTTGTCCCAAATCAAACGGATCTTGAACCAAGGAAAGATTTAAAGAAGTTTTTCAATGTCAAGAGAAGGATTCGAGGTAAGATTACTGAAAGAACCTCTCTTGAATCTCAAGTTTTTGAATTTCAAAACTTATTTTTGGTTCAAACCGGATATTGATGGTTTTTGAGTAAAACTAGCGTAGAAATTGGAGATCTTGGGTTCTTTGGACTTGTTTTAGGACCTAGAACCCAGATCTAGTGGTTTTCCTTTGAAATATCTCGATTTGGGACTGAGATTTGCAGTTTTTGGATTGATTTCTGTGAGCTTCTCTCGCGTAGCTGATTCCACCGGTCGACCTGTCCGGTCGACCGGATCACATGGAAACCGGTCGACCTATGCGGTCGACCAGATTGCATTGGCCTGACCGGTCGACCTGTCCGGTCAACCAAAGTGTACACCACCGGTCGACCGGTGGTAATGCACTACTCTGTCACCGATCGACCGGTTGACACGGGGTTTGACCCTGTTTGGCCTGAAATTGCTGTTTTGACCCCTGTTTTCGGGGAGAACCCAAATTAGCTTCATTTGGGGACTTGGGACAAATGGATTAGCATCTTTAATCCTTGATTTGAGATTGAAAACCCTTGAGAGATAATTTGAAATATGAAAATGGATTAGGGCACACTAATAGGAAATCTTGGTTGGAAATTGAGATTTGGATTGCTTTAGGAATGAGAATTAATCCTAAAGTGTTGTTTTGCATCAGTCATCGCTGAGGATTCTTTTACTTTTCAAAATATTTTGTGCCAATTTTTATATAAGTCCAGTCACGTTTTTCTTATGTAATTCTGTCATGCATTGTTTTGTTATTCAAATTATTTTACAAACTGTCTTTTATTGCAATATTGTCAAATTGATATATTGTCAATTTTTGATAACTTGTAATGATAATATTTTCGGAGTCAACATAGAGGTTTAAGTTATTTGATCATTTTATTTTATGACTCAAAACTTGAATTGGTGAACGAAACATTAGGGATTCTTTTCACCTTACTATTTTTATTACTGAGTTTCCTTCATACAAATTTTCTCCTTTTTATTTTACTTGCAACAAAAATCTCAAAAACTCTTATTTTTCTTTAATTCACTTGTTATTTATTTTTCTCTAACGCTCTTATTATGCTAATCTTTCTTGTTCATTTTGTTACCTCTTTGTGGATACGACCACCCTTATGTGCTACAATTGACCATTTGTGAACAACACTTTTGGGCGTTAACCAGCCTTCCGCTCACTTTTACTATTATGTTTTCAATGTTTTAAACCCCCTCCAGAGTTAGCAGTTTAGATTAACATCATGAGAAGTGGATGCTAATGGATTGAAGGTGTGAGGTTCGAAGCGGTACGTTTGTTTCAGATTTACAGTTTTAATTATGAGATGTGTTGTATTCCAGTATATAAACTGTATTGGTCGACACTGTCCCAGAGTTGTATTATTTTAAACTTTATGGACTGTTTTAAATATTATTTGTAAAAGAAAGACTCTGGAGCAATATATTTTAATATCTATTTTGGTATTTGTTGTTGGAGAAACGGATCCAGTTATCATAGTTACGGCGCAGCGGAAGTTTTAAAATTTTAATGCCGAACAAGGAAA